CTGCATGAAGCTCGTGGCGAACGCGCCTCCGGCGAGCACCGTCTGGAAGACCGGCAACTCCTGCGAGCAGCACCCGTCGAGGTGCAGCACCCTCGGCGCACGGTACAGAGAGATCTGCAGCTTGGCCAGCCAGAGCGGAAAAAAACGAACTTGATGGCTGCCTGCACAAGGCACCGATGCGATACGTGCTCGAATGCCTTCCAAAAGTCCAGCAGGATGCTGGAAGAGGCCCAGTCTTGATCGGGGTGAAGTTCAGCCACCATCGCAATACACTATAATTCCGCTTGCTGCTGCCACACCGCTCTGTCACATGAGCCCCCATGAGCACGCCCACCAGTAGGGCCTGTCACTGGCCTTCTCCCACTGCTGCATGATGAGCCTGCGAAGCCCGCCGTGAACTCTGACCACCGCTGCCAACAACGCAATGGGTCGAAGGCCTCCGTCTGCCTTGGGAATGAAGGCCACCTTGGTGATGCAGCTGGGACAATCTGCTTGCTGTTCGATTGCCATCAGCAAACCAACGGGGGCCTCAATGCCTAGGCCGTCCATCAGAATTCACTTGGACGGATGCTGTCAAACTTGGACCCAAACTGAGGCTTGAAGGACGAGATCACTTTCCGCGGCTCCGCCACAGAAGGCCTGTCGGGGCGCTTTCCGAGGCCCTCAGGCCAAGGCAGACGGTGCCTCTCAGACTCGAGCTCCCTCGGGGTCTTCGCACCATGCGCACCACCACCTGCTGCCTGAGCTGGCAGGGCCTGGGGGGGCGACGATGCCCCAGTACACGGACCACTCGTCCACCAACGCCCGCAGGTTCTGCTGAATGGTGAGCGGCGCCACACCAACTGTGTCGGCTGGCTTCGCGTTCCAAATCTGAGCCGTCTTCGTGACAGCACGGGTGCCGCCTGAACCCGCGGCAACAGAGTGCAGCACCCAGTCGTTGTAGCTCTTGGAGGCTTGATCGAGATCCGTATTGACCATTGCCTCGGACAAGCTGAAACACGCCGCACTGCGCACCTCAAGCTGACCAAGGGAGAAATCCTGCGCGCCGCTGGCGATAATGCTGACCACCCCCTGCAGCTCTGCGGGGTCGGACGGCGGCCTGCCAGCTAGCCTGCCCAAGGCGCGCAGGGCTCCGAACCCGGTGAGCGGCCGCTTGATTTGCGCTGCGTCACGGAGACAAATGGCCACCGACCAGCACCAGGTCGAAGCTCGAGTGACGCGCGGCAGCCAAAGCGGCGACGGCGCCGTGGCTGAGGTGGCTGAAAGCCTGGGCCGTTCCGCACGGCCTAAATACCTGTCGAGGTCGTGGATGAGCCCGCACGTGTTAATCATGTTGACCTCCGCCTGATTGACGAAAGCCTGCCACATGCTGTCTAGGTCGGTCATGCGCTCGAGCTGGCCACGAACGGCCCGCCAAGCTGGGCCATGACCCTGCGCGCAGCAGGCCAGCGGCCCGGGCAGAGGCAGCCGCTTGGCCGCGCGCACGACGGTGACCTTCTGGTGCCTGCTCGGGCCAAGCAGCTCGGGCGCAACTGGATAGTGCGGGCTGAGGTCCAGCCCGTGGACAACGCTGGTCCCCGCCGAAGAGCCTCGAGACCACGAAGTAATCGATGATCCTGCCTGCAGGCCTGCACGTGGCATCCGCGGGCGCGGCAACGACCGCCAGCGCCGCCTCTAGCCAGCCAGACTCTTCCAAGACTGACGGCGCCATGTTGAAGTCCCCGCACACAATGAAGGGACTGTTGGCCGCCTGCAGGGCGTTGAGCACCGCGCAGAGGGTGTCGGCATTGCTCTGGTTGAACCCGACGTTGACCTCCAGATACACGTTGGCCCACGCGATGCCGCCCCTGCAGACGCCATTGAGGTGGGAGATGATGGCGCGACCAGGCTCCAGCACCGCCTGCTTGCCGAGCAGGTCGAACCGCCCGAGCCCGAGGTGCTGGGGCGCCATCTGCACAAGGCTCCCAGTGCCCTGGGAGCCAAAACCAGCGTCGATCGATGGCGCGGCCTCCGAGGCCCATCCGAGCCGTCGAAGCTGTCCTTGAACTTCTTGAGTGCGCTGCGAATCCAAATGCGTCTCCTGAACGGCAACGAAGTCGCAGCACCTGACAGTGGCTGTGCCAAGCAGGTTGGCGAACCTCGACCACGCATTGCAGCTTACCGTGAGGCCAACCCACCAATGCCCTATTTTGTCCGCCGTTCTGGGCATGAGAGAGGAACGATTGCCACCAATGGCCCCGCTGAGGCCGCTACCCCGAGGTCTTGGAGCGCTTGGCACGATGATGATGACGATGCTGACGATGATGATGCTGATGATGCTGCTGATGATGATGATGATGATGATGATGATGATGATGATGATGATGATGATGATGATGATGATGGTGATGGTGATGGTGATGACGATCACGAGTATGGTGATGATGACGATGATGGATTGGTGGTGCTGACGACGACGATGATGATGATGATAGTGGAGATGATCATAATCATGGTCATGATGATGGAGGAGGAGGGAGGGGGCAGCGGGAGGAGTGGGACGCGGGGCGCTGTCTCTGCAAAACGAGGACTTCACACCACAGGATGGCTGGGCAAAACTCTTGGGGCGCCAATCCACCCGAAAGGTGGGATCGAGGGCCTGGGGGCCTCACGTCTTGAAGGAAGACTGGCATCGCAGGTCTGGGAAGGGAGTGTTCCCTTGATTGTCTGACGATCGACCATATCTTGCAGTGGTTCGTCCACAGCTGCCTACTTAAAAGTAGCGTGCCGCGCAGCAGCTAGGACACCGTTGAGCAGCTCAGGACGGAGCGGCTGGCCGAAGGCACAGGTTGCCTTGGCCTTGCTTGTCTGACGATGGCCCCAGGGAACCCACTCCTTATCCCCCTCCCAATCCTCATCTTCCCCCTCCTTCTCCTGCCTCGTCTCCCTGCCTCCCATTCGTTCCTTCGTGGGCTGCGCAAGGGAGACGTTTATAGCGTCATGCTCCAAGAGAAAAGCAGCAGAAAGGGAGAAATACACCAGGCGGCCAAGCACCAGGCGGCACCCGAACACAAAAGAGCGGTCGCCCGTTCGTTGGCATATGAAAGCACATGTTCATTGACGCCTGGAAGAACGAAAAACAGCAGAGAGGAAGGAAGACATTCGACATAGTAATATCGGGTGGCACCGAATACCCAGGGAACGTCCAACTCCACCTGCTCCTATTCATCCTCATCCACCCACTCATCATCACCATCATCATTATCGTCGTGATCATCATCATCATCATCACCACCATCATCATCATCATCATCATCATCATCATCATCATCATCAGTATCATCAGCATCATCATCATCATCGTCACCACCACCACCACCATCGTCAACAGCAACGTCTTCATCCACTTCCTTATCATCATCCCTCCGGAGGTCTCTGGAGGTGCCTGCGGGTCTCCGGAGGCCTCCAGAGGCCTCGGAAGGCCCAAACAAGACCTGACACTATCAAACAACTCGATCCTCCCCCTCACGGTCGGCATCGGGCCAACGCAGTGCCAAAGCTTGGCCACATGTGGCATCTACGCGGCACCAGCGAGACAATGGCGGTGGACGCCTGCTGCCTGGTTGTAAGGCTGGCGCATGTTTGCTTCACCAGTCGCTGGCCGCTCTCGCGCCAACTCTCGGTGGTTCCCACGTCGCCGTGACCATGCCTCGGGCTTGTCGCGCCCTGGCTGAGCCTCGACTCCGGGCGAACAAAAGGCGACGGCCCCAGTTTGTCGGCGCGTTCTGCTCCGGAGGCCGTCGGGTCGGACGAAGGAGGGGGGGGCGAGCGAATCAGCTCACGTAGCTGACTTCTCCAGCGCCTGTATCAAGGAAAGCGCCTGGCGGCGGGGCTGAGACCAGCAGCAGATTTCGTACACCCCCCCTTTCCTGATCCACCCCTTCGTCGGACGCGGCAGAAGTGTGAGGAGATCTCCAGAGGTGCTCAGAGGTGATTGGGGAGTCTGGAAGCCTCCATGAGATCCCTGCAGCCTCTAGGAGGCCCCCTTGGAGGCCTCCAGAAGCCCAAAGTTCCGATCCTCGATCCTCGACGCTCCTCCCTGAACAGAAGACTGCCACGACGTCACGAGAAGCGTCCTGCCTCCAGACCTCCGACGTCGTGAGGTTGTTCCATACGCGGTCCCCCAGATCTCTCGACCCCATCCTAGTGACCGCTTTTTCGCCTCAGATTGCTCTTTCACGGTCCCAGGGCCTTGACACTGTTCCCAGAAGACGGTGAAAAACCTCCGCCTCGATTTTTATCAAGGCGTGGGAAGCCTGGGCCCTCCTCCAAATCCGAACCTCCTGGACCTCTCCTGAGCCCCGTTCTGGCAAGGATTTCCCCAGCCTTGGCCACGAGGGCGCCCCGGGAGGGTCGCAAACAGATCTCAAAACCAAGAGAAACTCGATCCTCGAGCCTCGGTTCTCGAGGTCCGCCGAGTCAAACCCGTTCAAAGTCCATCCCCAGACACCCCCGCGGGCAGGTCCGTACTGGGCGGTTTCGTCCTGGATCGACTCTTGACGGACCCGAAAGGGAGGGGGGGCAAACAGGGAGGAAATCAATTTCGATCCTCCATCCTCGACACTGGGCCTCGGTCCTCGAACGTGGATGGCTTCCTCCCTGGGCATCGTCGGGTCTTTGGGCCAGCCGCTCCCGGCGCCACGGGGATGCAGGAACGTCCACATAGAGAGTGGGAAGCAAAAAAGCAACACATACAAACCAACAAACAAACAAACAAACGACACAAACGGCACAAACAGCACAAACAACACACAACACAATACGCCGCAACGCAACGCAAACAACCAACACAAACAAACGACACAAACGACACAGGCAAACAAACAATCGACCCACGAAGCTCGATCCCAGCCGGAGCTCGATCCCCGAAGTTCGATGCTCGAAACTCGATCCTGGGCATCGTCGGGCCCTGGAGCCGGCCAGTCCCCCGGAACGCGCGCGCGCGCGGCTCCCGCCCGGGCCTGCAGCGTCTCCTCCGCAGCGGGCAGGATCGAGGAGGCGTCGGGCGAGAAGCCGCCTTGGTCCCACCAGCGGGGCGGGAGCTCGATGGTGTAGCCCAGCCTCACGAGGGCGAGGGCGGAGAGGAGGGGGGGAGGAGAGGGGGAGAGGGGCAGGGGAAGGGCGAGGGGAGGGAGGAGGGAGCGCAGTGCGAGGGCGAGGGGAGGGGAGGCGGGAGGCAGGAGGGAGGAAGGAGAGAGGAGGGAGGCAAGCTGAGCCGCCCTGACTGGGCCCGCCTCGGGACGGGGCCAGGACGAACCCCCGGAGAGGGACTGGCTTGGAGCGGATTTGGGCTAGGTGGGGAATCGCAGCTCCCATGCACCGCCACAGAGCTGAAGAAAAAACGAATTTGACGCATGGTGTGGGCGCCGTCGCCCAGGCGGGCGATGCGGCGCGCCAGCGGCGTCGCGCCCTGCCGACGGGTGGGCCCACAAGGGGGCGCGTTCCTGATACCCCCGTCGGCGGGGAAGGCTTTCGGCCAGGCCCGGGGGGCCTCGAGCGCCGGAGGAGGGGGAGGAGGGGGGAGAGGGGAGAAGGTCCGGAAACAAAGAAAAACGCGACGAGCAGACACAACCATGCAGGAGACGAAGGGGGGCAGCAAAAGCAGCAGAGGGCAAGCGCGCACGACGGGGGCGGGCGGGGGGCGGAAGGAACGAGGGTCGTCGCGGGGTTCGTCGTGGGTCGTCGCGGCGCTGGGGGTCGCCGTTGGTCGTCGGGGGTGTCGCGGGTCAGGGGTCGTCAGGGACGGGAGGGGCAGAGGGCCAGCCGGCGCCGACGGCGACCGCGACTCAAATGGCGTCAGCCGCAGCCGCCGCCACGGCCGCTGCGAGGCGCGCAGTGGGCACCCCCGCCGACGGTTGTAGCTGTCGCAGCACCGCCCGCGCGTTCTCCCGATGCAGGGAAACTGAGTCGCTGGGCGTGCCGGTCTGCCACTGCGGCAGTTTCCTCCCCAGTGGCGTCCGCCGCCCGCTTGGCCAAGATCGCAAAAGCTCTCCTGGCTTCGCGCCCCCGCCCGCCACCGTGGGCCTCCACCACCCTGGGCATGAAGGTGAAGCCCTGCACCGCGCAATGGCGCTCGGTGTCCAAGTGTTACCGTTTGAACTCCTCGCACCTCTCCGTGCCCGCGCTCGGGGGCGCGGCAGACGCGCCGAGGAGGTCGCCGCGCATGCCAGAAGTGGCCGGAAGTCCCAGGCCGCTAGCACCCTTTTCCGCCACCTGGGCAGGTAAACGTCCGCGGGGCGCCTGTCGCCTGCGTCCACGTCTGGGCCGTCCTGCTCGCCGCCCGGTGGCCCTTCGTTGGCTGCGCGCGGCGGGAAGGGCCCCGGCCGCTCCAGCTCCGCCCCCGCGAGGCCGGCGGCTTGCGCGTCCAAGAACCCCTGGTTCCGAAGCGCGTTGTGGCGCTTCGTCCTGTCGCCGCCGCAGGAGCAGGCAACGGCGTGGTCTAGCCACACGTCCATCATTTCCCCGCAGACGGGGCAGAAGTCCTCGTCGCCCAGAACTGCACGCGGAGCCTGTGTTGGACAGCTACCTGGCAAAGGCCGCACGGGAAGCGGGTGCCGGCGGCCTCGCAGGGCGGCGCCTGGAGGAACGCGCCAGCGCCATGGGCCAGAAGCAAGCTCAGGTGCGCCCGCGTGGCAGCGGAGGCGCCAGTCTGGAGGCTTGCGGGCGCCGCGTCGTCAACGGGGTCGCCGAATCTCTTCTGGCTGCCGCGCTGCTCCGGGTCGAAAACCACCCTGTCCGCCTCCGAGACGAGAGCGTTGTGGGCCTGCACAGCGTTCGCGAGCGCGCCCCCGTCGTGCCCCGCCGCGTCGGTGTACTTTGGGTAGGGCTGCTTGCAGAGGGCAGAGCACGCGGCCAGGGAGGCAACGTAGGCTGCGGCCGCGTGCTGCTCACCCGAGCGCAAACCTAGGCCCTCCTTTCGCACCTTGAGTTGCGCCGGCCGCCACGACGCGTCGTTGAGCGAGCAGCCAGCCACCTGCTCGAGGCAAGCCCTTTCCCCGTTGTCCAGCGACTGCAGGGCCGCCGTGTGCGCCGTGGGCGGGACCACCCGCGCGCTGTAGCCCAGTTTGCGAAACGACGCAAACGCCAACGCCGACGCCGACGCAATCGACGACGACGCCGACGACGACGATGACGACGCCGACGACGATGCCGACAGAAGAGGACGACGACGACGACGCCGACGCCGACGCCAACGCCGACGCTGACGCCGACGACGACACCACCGCCGACGCCGACGCCGACGGCAGAGGTCGACGCCGACGCCGACGCCGACGCCGACGCCAACGCCGACGCCGACGACGACGACGACGACGACGACGACGCAGACGCCGATGCCGACGCCGACGCCGACGCCGACGCCGACGCCGACGCCGACGCCGACGCCGACGCCGACGACGACGACGACGACGGCGACGACGGCCACGACGACGACGACGACAACGACGATGCCGACGACCGACCGCCGACGCCACCGCCGACGCCGACGGAAGAGGACGACGTCGTCAACGACGCCGACGCGACGGAAGAGGTCGACGTCAACAACGACGACGACGACGACGCCGCCACCGACGACGTCGACGACGACGACGACACCGACGACGCCGACGCCGACGCCGACGCCGACGCGACGACCGCCGAACGCCGGACGACGCCCGACGAAGACGACGACGATGACGACGCCGACGCGACGCCGAACGACGACGACGCGAAGACGACGACGCCAACGCCACGGCCGACGCCGACGCCACCGCCGACGCCGACGCCGACGCCGACGGAAGAGGACGACGACGACGACGACGACGACGACGACGACGACGACGCCGACGCCGACGCCGACGCCGACGGAAGAGGTCGACGCCCACGACGACGACGACGCCGACGACCACGACCGCGCCGACGACGACCACGACCACCACGACGACGCCGCCGCCGCCGCCGACGCCGACGCCAACGCGAACGCCGACGCCGACGCCGACTCCGACGCCAACGCCGACGCCGACGCCCGACGCCACCGCGACGACGCCGCCGACGCCGACGGCGACCACGCCGACGCCGACGTCAACGCCGACGCCGACACCAACGCCGACGCTGACGCCAACTACGACGACGACGACGACGACGACGACGAAGACGATGCCGACGCCGACGACAACGCCGACGCCGACGCCGACGCCGACGCCGACGACGCAGACGCCACCGCCGACGCCGACGGCCGACGCCGACGCACCGAAGATGGACGACACCGACGCCGACGCCGCCGTCGACGACGACGCCGACGACGACGACGCGACGCCACCGCCGACGCCGACGCCGACGCCGACACCGACACGCCGACGCCGACTACGACGACGACGGGCGACGACGCGACGCCGACGCCGATGCCGACGCCGACCCTAATGCCGACGACGACGATGACGACGACGACGACGACGACGACGACGACGACGACGACGACGACGACAATGACGACGATGCCGACGCCGAAGCCGATGCCGACGCCGACGCCGACGCCGACGGAAGAGGGACGACGACAACGACGACGACAACGACGCCGACACCGACGCCGACGCCGACGCCGACACCGACAGAAGACGCCGCAAACGACGACGACGACGCCGCAAACGACGACGACGACGACGACCACGACGACGCCCACGACGACGACCAAGACCACGCCGACGACGATCACGACCACCACGACGACGCCGCCACCACCGCCGCAGCCGACGCCGACGCGAACGCGGACGCCGACACCGACGCCGACGCCGACAGAACCGCCGACGCTGACGCCGACGCCACCGCCGACGCCGACGCCGACGCCGACGCCGACGACGTCGACGACGACGATGACGACGCCGACGACGACGCAGACGGCGACGACGACGCCGAGGCCAACGACGACGACGCCGACGCCGACGCCGACGCCGACACCGACGCCGATGCCGACGCCGACGCCGACGCCGACGCCGACGCCGACGACGCCGACGCCGACGCCGACGCCGACGCCGACGGAAGAGGACGATGCCGACGCCGACGCCAACGCCGACGCCGACGCCGACGCGGACACCGACGGCAGACGTCGACGTCAACGACGACGACGCCGCCGCCGCCGCCGCCGCCGACGACGACCACGACGATCACGACGACCACGACGACGCCGACGACCACGGCCACGACCACGACCACGCCGACGACGACCGCGACCACCACGACGACGCCGCAGCCGCCGCCGACGCCGACGCGAACGCCGACGACGACGACGCTGAAGGCGACGCCGCCGCCGACGCCGACGCCGACGCAACCGCCGACACCGACGTTAACGCCGACGCCGACGCCAACGCCGACGCCGACGCCAACGACGACGACGACGATGACGACGCCGAAGACGACGCCGACGCCGACGATGACGACGCCGCCGCCGACGCCGACGCCGACGCCGACGCCGATGCGGACGCCGACGCCGACGCCGACGCCGACGCCGACACCGACGCCGAAGCCGACGCTAACGCCGACGACGACGACGCCAACGACGACGACGACGACGACGGCGACGACGACGACGACGACGACGACGACGTCGACGACGACCACGACCACCACGACGACGCCGCGGCCGCCGCCGACGCCGACGCCGACGCGAACGCCGACGCCGACGCCGACGCCGACACCGACGCCAACGCTGACGCGACCGCCGACGCCACCGCCGACGCCGAGGCCGACGCCAACGCCGACGCCGACGCCGGCGATGACGACGCCGACGCAAACGCCGACGCCGCCGCCGACGCCGGCGCGGACACCGAAGCCGATGCCGAGGCCGACGCCGACGCCGACGCCAACGCCAACGCCAACGTCGACGCCGACGACGACGACGCCGACGACGATGACGATGACGACGCCGACGACGACGCCGACGCCGACGACGACGACGCCGACGCCGACGCCGACGCCGACGACAACGACGACGCCGACGACGACGAAGACGACGACGACGACGACGCCAACGCCGACGACGACGGCGACGACGTCGTCAACGACGACGCCGACGACGACGACGCCGACGA